TCAGGGAGGAGGGATTCCTTCCAGCTGGAAGCACCATTTGGAGGTCCTTGACGAAGAGTAGAACTGGGGTGTGTAGAGGAGGGGACTGGGTTGGGGGATGAGCTAAGAAACATAGGAACTTCCAAGAATATGGAATTTATTAAGCCAGTGTGTACAGAAGACTCACAGAAGGTATGATTTGAAAGGGAATTTGGGGTCTGTTTATAGGGAGTTGGAAATATGAAACGAAAGACTTTGGGCTTTAATTGGCAGCCATGAGAGTTACGTTATTATTGTTTTTTTATGAGTGCTTCTTAAAATTAATGTTTTTTTCATTTTGACCTAATTGAAGATTCACATGCAGTTATAAGAAATAACAAAGATCCTGAGTAACTTTACTCAGTTTCCCTCAATGGTAATACCTTGCAAAACTATAGTCAATATTACAACCAGGATATTAACATCGATAGAATCCACTACTCTTACTCAGATTTCCTGTTTTACTTGTACTCATCTGTGTATGTATTTAATTATATGGAATATTATCATATATGTAGATTTATAAATGTGTAACCACAATCAAGATATATCCCAAAGATTTCCTTTTTTCCTAACAATTTTATAATTTTACATGTTACATATAAGTTCCATTATCCTCAATCAATTTTGTACGGTAAGAGATTTAGGTTCGAGTTTTTTTGTTTGCTTATGTGTTTTTGTCTATGGATGACCAATTGATCTAGCACCAATTTGTTGAAAAGATTATCCTTCTGCATTGAACTGCTTTTGTGCCTTTGTCAAAAATCAGCTGGGCATATCTGTGTGCCCCTTTTCCTGGGCTCTCTAGTCTGTTCTCTACCAATATTACACTGTCTTAATTACTGCAGCTGCATCTTAACCCTTAATATCAAAGAGTGATTTTTCTTACTTTATCCCTCTTTTTCAAGAGTGTGTTAACTATTCTAGATACTATGCCTTTCCATATAAATTTCAGAATAAGTTTGTCTATGTCTGCAGAAAGCTTACTGGGATTTTGGCAAGAACTGCATTACCTATAGATCAATTTGGAGGAAACTGACATCTTTACTAAGTTGAACCTTCTAATACATGAACATATTATGTTTCTGTTTAATTTGATTTATTAGCATTTCGTAATTTCCAGCATTCAGATCCTTCATGTGTTTTGTTAAGTGCATACACAGTACTTCATTCTCCTCATAGCATTTGTAAATAATAATTGTGTTTTTAATTTTGGTTTCCATATAACCTGTGTTACCATACAAAAGCATCCTTTAATTTTTTTTAAAGATTTAATTTATTTGAGAGAAAAAGTGAGAGAGAACATAAGCAGAGGGAGTAGCAGAGGGAGAGAGAGAAGCAGGCTCTTCACTGAGCAGGGAGCCTGATGCAGGGTCATGATCCGAGCCAAAGACAGCCACTTAATTGGAGGAGCCACCCAGGCACTCCCATCTTTTTACTTTCAACTTCCCTGTGTCATTAAATGTGAAGTGAGATGAAACTGACTTCAGTCACCTTGTAATTGGCTGGTGTTTCTTTTTGTTTTCTTGTTTTAATCTACTCTGCCAATATGCTTTTTTAATTGGTATATTTACATCATTTACGTGGAAAGGTAATTCTGATATATTCGAGCTTATGTATGCCATTTTATCATTCATTTTTTGTTTTTCCTGTTTCTCCTTTTTCACCTTCCTGGGGGTTATATTTTTCAGAATTCAATCTTAATTTACTTTTAGAGTATTTGATTATATCTCTTTGGGTAAAAATTGTTGTTCCAGGTATTACGATATACATATGTGACTTATCACAATCTGCTGGTATCAACATTTTACCACTTCAAGTGAAGTATGGAAACCTTACTTCTGTTTAGGTCCCTTTGCCTTCCCCAATTTTTAATATTACTACCTTGAGTATCAGATGTTTCAGTCATAAATATGATTGTAAAAACTCATGACACAGATATAATATTTACCCCAGTTTTTTACCTATTCTAAGATTCTACTTTCCTTTCTAAAATTTCATGTTATTCTCCACTATCATATCTTCCTTTAGTCTTTTTTTATTCCTTTTTAAAAGATTTTATTTATTTATTTGAGATAGAGAGCACAAGCACAGGGAACAGCAAAAGGAGTGGAAGAAGCAGACTCCCCACTGAGCAGGGAGCCAGTGTGGGACTCTATCCCAGGGTTAGATAAGATTAAATAAAAAGATCCTGACACTTCCAAAAGCCATTGTTAAAATGCTCAGACTGTGGATTTGTGGATTGTCTTGTGTAGTAGCTCCTTGAATGCTCCCCACAATTGTTTTTCATAGGTATTAGTTCCCATTCTGCAGAAAAGTAATTTCCCCAAGATCTCATAGCTCAAAGGCATATTAAGGTATATTCAAAAGAAGAGAAAAAATATATAAATATTCTAAGTCAAATTTTCTGCCTAGATCTCTCCAACATGAATGTGCTTTTGGGTAAAAATTAAAAAGCCATGGAAATTTTTTTTACTAATGAACCAGAAATAGCATATCATATTAATGGCATACAATGACAGCACCAGAAAAAGAGTAAGACTTGAAGTTAGGAAAAGTCGGTTTGGGCCTACGCCAATCGTTTATGAGCTCTGTAACCTTGAACAAGTCATTTTACCTGCTATATCAGTCCTTCTTTGGCAAACAAGAAACAAATTTGAAAGCAAATTACAAATTTCTTTGCGTTCCAAGCGACTACAAACTTCCTGGTGTAAAATAATGCCCAACTACAGGACCTACAATCTTGAAGGTGAGAAGTCTGGATGGTCTCTGCTTAATCAAGGATGAAATCAATTTGTTGACCGGTCTGTGGTCTTCTGTGCAGTTTCTAGAGAACAATCTGCTTTCAAGTTCCTTTGGGTTGTTGGGGGAAGTCCAGCTGTTAGCAGTTGTAGGACTGAAGTCTGTATTTTCTTGTTGGTTCTCTACTTCTAGAGGCTGCCCACATTCCTACTCGATTTGCTTACAAAGCTTTTGTGATGATGATCAAATGAAACCTGTTGTACCACTAGTAGTGAGGAATGTGGCTGCTGCTTAAGGCTGCTGGGTTTAGAGACCATCTCTCAACCTTCTTCCATAGAACCCGTCTAAACCACAGGTAATCCTCGCAGGAAGCAGCTTCTGAAGTCTCTAATAACAGTTGTGTTAGTTGAGACTTCTGGAGGGACAAAAACCGCGTTTTGTGGTGGACAAATGTTTACTGAGGAAAGTGGATTAGATTCTATGAAGTGCCTGGCACCAGTGGTGGGGAGAATTCTAAGTGGCGGTTCTGCACGGAAGAGAAGGCAGTGAGGCTTGGGAAGGGCTAACCCCACAGTCACGAAAGGACACAGAAGTGAAGGATGCCTGTACCAAACTAGAAGTGCAAATTCTAGAAGCATACACACCTGAATGGCCAACCTCTATGAACCCAGGACTTCCCCCTCATTGCCCCCTGGCTGGGGTTCAGCTCCTCTCACGTGGGGGACACTGGGCACACCCCCCTCAAGTCCTTCCTCTGCAGAAGGTGCAAATAGAGCCGCCAAGCCTGCCCCCTCAGGCTCTGGTGCTCCAGGCCTATCCCCGCAGGTCCCTCAGTTCCGCCTCTCCCTCCACCCTACCCTCCGGCAGCTCACAGGTAGCCTCTGACTGACTCCCGAGGCTGTGACTGGTCTTTCTGTTGCCACTGCCCACCCTCCCCTCACCCCTCCCCCACCAACGCAGACTCCAGAAGCAGTGAATTTGCCCGCCAGCGCGCTCAGTTGCCACCATCGCTAAGGCTGACTCAGGGAGCAGTGAATTTGCCCGCTAGCGCACTTGTTCCTGCCTTGGAGAAAGGTAAAAGCTGTCTTCCGCTTTTATTAACAGTCACTCCAAAGTGAGATGTAATGCGTAAACCGGTCTGGGCTACTGTGGGTGAGAATGGGAGGCCTAGTTGTTGTGGAGGTGGCTATCTGTCCCTCGATGTCCCGGGGACAGTCCCTGTGGGTAATCGGTCTCTATGGCACCGGAACAGAGAGCATCCTGGCCCCGTGGACTCCCTGGACACTCTGTCCTTACCTCCACTATTACTAAACCGGGTGTTTGGGTGTCTCCAAGCAACAGCAATTGACAAGTGGCCAGCAGGGTTCGAGGCTAGGCTTTACTGGGGCTTATGCTCCAGCACAAGGGAGACTGCACAAGGAGAAGAATCCTCAGGCTGACTCGCTGGGGAGAGGTCAGGGAGAATTTTTTTAGAGAAACTTAGATGGGAAAAGGGGGACTCGAAGCACATAGAAGCAGGAATTTATTAGCACCTGCGCACTTATTATCCTTCTTCATGCATAATGCATCTAATTAACATGATAAATCTCCAACCCTGGGCACGATTTTTAGTATCATAATGAGGACAACAGTCAATGAGAGGACAGTGATGGGGTCCATCTTGGCGTACACCGTTTTGGTCTTCCCCAGTCTTGGTATCGCAGCCCTCCCTTCGGTAAACGTCCTGCCTCCACCTTTCCCGAGACATCTCCCCACTCAAGGGGCATAGGTTTCAGCTACCAAGGAATGCTGGGTTTCTCCCTCAGGGTTAAGGGGACCTGACTCCAGTCCCCACTCTGTCTCAGGTTGGCAGGCTGTCCATCGTTTCAGCTTCTCATTCTGTATTTAGATCGGAGTAGTGTGGTGTGAAAGAAAACGGATGTGTGGTTACTGGTGCAGTAAGCCTAAGGCATCATAGGAAGAAGTATGAGCGAACCTCTCCTCCCTGCTCACACCGCCTTTTGTGGCGTCTGGGATGGGCACTGAGCCTGGTTCTGCTTCAGAGGAGGGAGGGAGATGGGCTTGGGGAGTGATCCTAGACCCTCCAGAGTATCCCCAGGGAGCGGCTAGACAAGGAGACATGGGGACACCCTTCTAAGTTCAAACTCCCATCTCACTCTTCCGTTCTTTCTCCCTAAGAATCTTTTGCTCCTGGGTAAGTGCCAATAACTTGCACGCTCCCCTCCCCGCCAATTCCTGCAATGGGCAATAATTGCTTTGGCTTTAAGAAATGGCCGATTCGGTGATGCGGCCTCTGCCCACCCTGATTATCCTCCCTGCCCTCATGCCCCGGAACAAGAACAAAGACTGCTGCATTGTGCTTGGCACCGCTGGCATGGGCAAGAGCGTGTCAGTGCGGAGGTGGGTGCGTGGCAACTTTCGCGATGCGTATCTGCCAACCATCGCAGATACCGACTGCCATGTACTGAGCTCCAACCACGGCGTCGGGGCGCTGTACAGCACCGAAGCCACCGGCAGACCCCGCTACCCGGGTCTGCAGCGCCTCGCCGTTGCTAGGGGCCCTGCTGTCTTCCTGGTTTACTCCGCCACCAAGAAGCAAACCCTGGAGAAGCTGAAGCCTTTCTATAAGCTGATCTACAAAGTCAAAGACAACACCTTGCATAAATACCCTATCGTTTTGGCGGACAGCAAATGCCAAGAAAGCCGCTGGGAGTCCACAGTAAGTGCTGCCTGCGCGTTGGAGTGGAATTGTGCCTTCTTGGAGACCTCCGCTGAGACGGATATCTGTGTGCAGGAGATATTTCACACGCTGCCGAACCAGGAGAAGACGTCTGCCGCCTGCCTTCACCATCCCCAGAAGAAATCCCTGATGCCGGAGACCGCGGAGAAGCTGCTTAATACGTACATCGTTCTGTGAGCCCCGGGGTCCTAGGATTCTGAACTTCTTCCCTTACAGTGTGCAGAAAACATGGAGCAGTCCCAGTGTAATGTGTTACCTGTGTGTGAATGACTTCTGTGCTGTGGTTTGGGTAACAACTAGGTGCCAAGGAGGACACGAAAAGAAAGGAGCGCTATGCATTTAAAGTCTACTTGTATAGATGTTAGAGATTAATATTTGAAATAGAGAATGAAATGCTTGAAATTAATTGAAAGAGGCCACTGCTCTTCTTGTAGCTCTAATTATGGTGTGTTATTTTAAAACATTCCAAGTCCTATAAAGTTGCCATTGTGTATTTAATTGTTAAAAAATGTGTTTTGGGGGTGCCTGGATAGCTCAGTCCTTAAACATCTGCCTTGGGCCTAGGTTATGATCCCAGGTTATGATCCCAGAACCTTGGGATGGAGCCCCATGTTGTGCTCCCTGCTCAGTGGGGAGTCTGCTTCTTCCTCTCCCACTCCCCCTGCTTGTGTTCCCCCTCTCACTGTCTCTCTCTGTCAAATAAATAAATAAAATATTTTTAAAATGTGGTTTTGCCACCAAAACTGGCAAATGAATTTCAAACAGGCATGTTAAACAAGGTAAATAAATGGATATTCTAGAGCCGAGCATTGAGGGCGGGGACAGAGAAAATGGGGAAAGTGGAACTTGCTTATTAAATGTGTGTCAGTTGTTTTCAAAACCATTTAAAAATGTTTGGGTATTCCATGTAGCAGTTTTTGTGACTCAAATCAAGCTTTTCCTGCATGCAATCAGCTTTATAATGTCTTTTTCACTGGTCAACAACAAAAATACCCATTGCATTAAAATTTCAACCACATCTGGGTGAGGTTTCTAATAAGAACTTGAGGCACATTCCCTCTTGAAATTAGCCAGTGCGGCCAGGGGTGCAGTTAAAGGGTCCCTGCGATGCAAAGCTGGTCTGTATCCATAACCATTCCTAGGCTGACATCTGGAAGAACTCCAGACATCTCTGAAAAGGGTGCTTTCTCTCTTGCTGTCTTGGAGATGGTGGAAAGCAAGCCTCGCCTTTGGCTGGCTCAAAGTCTTCCCTCAAGAAATGCTGGATATGGGGAGTGGGGAGGGGGATGGAAAGTAAGGGAAGAAATGGTGGAATGTGAAATTCAAGAAATTCCTCCTTAAGGGAGTTTTTTTTTAAAAGATTAATTTTATATTTGAACATACTTTTTTGAGTAAGGGAATACCTACCTATACATATCTTTTTGAGTGTGATTTTTTAAATTGGGGGAAGGAGTTTCTTGATTTGGTGACTTTTTTGCCATTAAATATTTATTATCAAACAAATATCACTGAATAATTTTTGTTTTTAAAAAATTTTAATGATTTATTTTAGAGAGAGAGATAGCACAAGTGTGAAGGGGAGAGGGAGAGAGAGAGAGAATCTCAAGCAGACTCCAAGCTGAGCATGGAGCCCCATACTGGGTTTGATCCCAGGGTCCTGGGATCATGACCTGAGCTGAAACCAAGAGTCAGATGCTTAACCAACAGCACCCACCCAGGCACCCCAATTTTTGTGTTTTAAAAGTAGTTTCCTATAGCTTGATTCTTAGGGAAAAAGCACACTGTTGAGAAGTGCTCATAAACACAAGGGAAATTTGGGGGAAGATCTATTTGCATATGTATAAGAGGATAATAAGTTGCATTTTGGATAACACAGTTGTTAGGATAGCCAAGTGGAGCTTTCCAGTGGGAATTAGACTGGGACTAGGGGCTGGAGACAATAATTGTGAGTTTTCAGCATAGAGCTGGTAGCAAGGCTGTGCAGGGAGAAAATGAGGCAAGATAAATGGGTTTAGGGCAGAATCCTGAGCAACACAAGCACAATAGAAAGCTACTAACCTAGAGGAAACTGCAGATGGCACTTAGAAGTGACCAAATGAGGAAACTCACAATGTGCAGTAGCACACTGGAGAAATGAGTTTCAAAGACAAGAATGTAATGTACTCTATCATAGCAAAAATTTCTTAGAAGCTGAATAAGATGAGGATTAGAAAGCCTTGCTCATATTTAGCAGTTAGGAGATTTCTGGTTTCAGAAAAGATAGAGTAGTTCCTCTATTCCCCACAGGTACTACTTCTTACAACTAAAATAACTCTGGACATAACATAATAAAGAAGCAAAGGAAAACACTTAAAGGTGGAAAGCAATGTACTGCCTAGGAACCTGGGGATGTGAGGAACAGCATGATGGTGATTCAGGTTTTCTTATTGTCCATCCAGGACAAGACCATGCAGAATGCCTCCAGGTCAGAGCTGCCAAAAGGTACAGATCAAAAACACCAAAATGGGGCACATTTTCCCTAGCCAAAGCACCAGGAAAAGATTGGTTTAGTAATAGAAAACCTTCTTGATGATATGTACCCAAACATCAAATGACATGAGTGAAACCCCTGCTCTCCCCCCGCCTCCCCAGGGAAGATCTGGTTTTCCACCTCATTACTCCCTGCCCTGCAGAGGCAGAAGGTAGTTTCCTGATGTCCCCTCCTGGTGCTGGACACCAGGCCAGTGCAGGGAGCCAATCTCTACCCTACAGCAGCAGGTTCCCCAACCCTTTCCCCACTGGAAGCTTGATGTCCGTGGGGCTGAGCAGGGAGTTCCTGCTCTCTGTCCTCTGTCAGCAGGTGTTTGGCAGGGAGCTGAGCCTCCATCTCCACCTGTCAGCAGCGAGGCTGGTGACATGGTGTGGAGCAGAGCAAGCCAACGGTCTACTACTCCCCTAGCCCACCCGCACCTTCATGAGTCTCTGCTCCTGTGTCCATAATCAAAAGTTCGGGACACGATGATCACTTCCGTCTCTCCCAAAAAGTCCTAAGTGAGAAAATTTACATATTACTGCTTGGATTGGAGCAGGGAGGATATAAACCATTCTAACCATTCTCTGCACTAACAATTTTATTCAAAGGAGCTAGAATCTATAGCTTCTATTTTTGCACCATCCAACATCATAGCCCCTGGCCTTATGTGATGTCTGCACTTAAATGTTGGCTAGTCCAAATTGAGATGTATTGCAAGCGTAAAATAGACTCTGGACTTAACTACAGAAGGAGCAATGTAGACAAGCTTATATATTTTTAAATTTATTACATGTTGAAATGATAGTATTTTAGATAGGTTGGTTTAAGTGACATATATTATTTAAATTAATTTGATGTTTCTTTCTAGTTTTTTTTTTTTAATTTTATTTTTAAGCAATCTCCACACCCAAAATGTGGCTTAAACTCATAGCTCTGAGACTAAGGGTCATGTGTTTTACTGACTGAGCCATCCAGGCACCCCTCTTTCTACTTCCTTAAATGTGGCTACCAGAGGAGTTTCTAGGTGGCAGAGTCAGTTAAGCATCTGGTCTTGGTTTTGACTCAGGTCAAGATCTCAGGGTCCTGAAATCAGCCTCCATGCTCAGCGTGGAGCCTGCTTAAGACTCCCTCTGTCCCCTCCACCCCCACTAGTGTGTTCTCGCTCTCTTGCTCTTTCTAAAATAAATCTATGTTTAAAAATGATATTTAATATCATTTAAATTTATATTTAATATTTAAATTTTTAAAATATTTAAATTTACATATTTAAAATTATATTCATAGCTCATCTTTATGTCCTACATATCTTCTGAGTAGGCAGTGCTGATATATGTTCAGAATGGCTATCGGAACTAATTTCTGTTTTTTTTTTTAATTTAAATTCAGTTAGCCAACATATAGTACATCATTAGTCACAACTAATTTCTATTTTGAATTTGATTACATACATAGCCAGGATCAACAATCAAGAATCGAAAAATGTTAGCATGTATATAAAATAATATGTGTCGTCAGATGTCTAAGTAACTTCATGAAATTCAAGATTAACAGAAATGGAACAAAATCCACTGAGATGTATGTTTGCATATAAATTAATTTGAATAGTACATCTATCAGCTACATTTATAAACCCAGGCCCATGGGCTCAACGCTTGGAGAAATAAACATGTCAGACTGTGTATTCAGTGAGTTGGTGAGGATTAAAATAAATGAAAACTGAAAATATGCCCACCGCATTGATAATGATATTTTCCCGGGCTATGGATACTGACAACCCTGCTAGCCACTTGACACCAAGAAGTGGAAAGCGGAGGAAAGAAACCTGATGTGGGAATAATACCATTTTGTAAACTGAGATCCAATACATTTCACTATTCAACACTACTATTATGGGGATATGGTGGTGTATTCATGGAAGTCATCCATTTTGTCTTCCAGATGAATAAATGTATCCTGGAAAGGATCTCACAGACTCCAAACAGCATTAGAATTCTCTTTCTGCCTCCAAATATCCTTCCCAGTATCCTCTCTGAGTACATCTCAGCCACACACCCTTTTCCCAACCAGCCTGGATGAGTTGCTGCCCCAGCCGGCATCTTAGGTAGTTGTTCCTTTGCTCTTTCTTCACGGAAGGTGCTATTTCTTCCATTTTCTGTCTACCAAAATTTTATTCACCTTTCAGAATCCAGCCCAAATACCAAAGGCCACTCCCACTGAAGTCTTCCCTATTTTTTAGTAATCATTTACAGAGAGCCCTGGAGTACAGAGTCCCTGTCTTCAAGGAGCACGTGATCCAACACAGGAGATGGGGAAGAAGATAAAAATACACAGCATTCTGTGGCTGGTGCCATGAAAATGAGCACACTCTCCATGCTGCTATCATATTGGCCTTGGAAAAATACACTTAAAATGCACTAATTTAAAAAATTTAAAACTGCACTTGATTGCACTGCTGCTTTTTTCAAGGGTCCTCATTTGCCAGAGAGTCTGACAAATGTGCATAAAACTGTGTGGACAAAGATGTATGTCACAGCGTTGCGCCGTCTACCTGGGTGGGAATCTCACTTCCGCCACTTACTGTTTGTGGAGGAAATACTGATGTTCTCAAGGCATTGTTTTCCTCAAATGTCAAATGGGGGTGATAATAATACCCAAGATGACTGTGAATTGACATAAATGAATTAAGACACATAAAGCACTTAGAATAGTGCCTGGCATATTATAAGCAATCGATAAATATTAGCCTTTGCTAGTATTAATGAAAGATTGAAAATTGCCTAAATGACTTTCAATATGGTTCAGCTATATTAAAGGTTTATATGGGCCAATACATAGTATCTCCAAGATTTATTTTAAATTTTCTCCTATTTGAGGGTTAGTGTATATATAAGCATGTGATTATATATATGTATAATAGAAAATTTTTCCAGAGAGCTATTGAAGTAATTGATAATTGGCGTTGGCTTTGAGGACCAGAATGACCACTTTTCATTCCGTAACCTTTAATGTAGTGTGAATTAGATTATCATGTATTTCTATTACTTTTCTAATTATTGGGGGGGAAAAAACCCAAGTAACTTCTTCATGAGTCCCAGTGGGAAAGAATAGAGTGGGGGCTAGAATCCAAGTTTTTTGACACCAACCACAGTGCTTTTTCAATTTTATTCAACTTTAAAGTAACTCAAGGAACCCCCAGGTCTAATTGAGAGAAAATAATTACGAATGTATTATGCTTCTAACATATGGCCTTTAACAGACAAGGAACAGAGGAAGCTGGGATTGGTTAAATAAGTAACCTAAATACCCATGCTGAGGTCACCCTAAGACCCAATATGTCACCCAGAATGGACAAATATGGGTTTAACCGTGTGTCTTTCTTCTTTTGCTTTATGGCTGCTCCCAACCTTGTGAGTTGTGTGAATGAAATCAAGGAATACCCGTGAAAGCCCAGCACAGAGCCTGACACACAGTAAGGCCTTAGCCGCTTCATTGAAGTGGGCTTATGCTACCTTCTCTCTCTACGTCTCCTAGACCTTTCCTCCAAGGGTAATGCAAAAGTCTTTCCACCCAACACACATTACCCCTGCACTCCTGGAGTTTATGTTTGCTGATATTTGTAGGGGAGGCACATCTAAAAAAATTCCATTTTTGAAAGGTCTATGCTCAGATATGGGAGGTAACTAGCCTGCTACATTAATACACATCCTGTTTACTCCTGTTGCTCTGAAAGCCCCTGGAACCTCTCTGTAAAGGTAGTCATTAGTACAGAGTGAGAGAGGAAAATGGGATTCAGAGAGAAATTACTGATAATTGAGGTCCTCTATCAGTGTCTTTTCTTCTCTCTGCAACCTGGAGCTGAACATTGTGAAATGTATTTGTTCCCAATGTAATTGAAATAGGAATTAAATAGTGTGGTGGGGCTGGGCTATTTGAGGACAAGGCTGCTGGTCACATGTTTGGAACTGTTGCTTGAAAATGCCCACCTGAGTGAAAATGCCTCCCGTCCTGCTGACCCGGGACCCTCTTTCTGGTGCTAACTTCGGTATCAGCTCTGCCATTCTTAGCTTACCTGGCAGACTCTAAAAATGTCTGTGGACTGTAGGTTTTTCTTGTCTGTAAAATGTGAGGATCTCAGACTCAAGGTCCACAGCCAGCAGGTAAGGAGTCTAAGTGGTGACCTAGAAAAAGATTATGCCCAATCTGGAGGAAAGCTTCTTCTACTCACTTCTGTTGGGAAAGGTGGATCTGGCGTTACAAAATTTTGCTAATTTTTCTTGGGAATCTAACAATTTTTAAATATTGGCAACCAATTAGAAATTGTTCAAACACATTTTTGTTTGGGTATAATTATGTCAGGCCTGCCAGCCACCAGTTAGAGACCCCAGGCTAGAGAATAGCTTTAAGGAAGTATTAAGGAAAGTTCCTTAATACTCAGAAATATTGTGATTTCTTCATTATCATCTAGGGGAATAAAAAAGTATGGAAGCTCTTCATTGATGCCACTTCTATTTCATAGAACTGTTGCAATTTGTCCTTCCTAAATCCCAATTTTTTTTTCTGGGAAATGATGATACAAATAACTTCCTGACATCACTAGACTCTATGGAGTGTGTTCAAAGCTGTAAATGTAACAGAGATAAGGATAATTAGGATTATTGTTTGAAGATGGAAGATGGCAACAATCCAGGGTAAAAACAAAATTACTGATGTTTTATGAAAGGAGGAATCCAGACTGGACCTTCAACTAGGTGTTGTGGCAGAACCTCATGGTCAAGAGCATGGACTCTGGGGGTCGGACCTTCTGAATTTGAACTCAGGCTCTCCTGCTTACTAATCATGTGAATTTGACCAAGTGTCTTTGTTTCCTCATTAGCAAAATGAGGATAATAATAGCTCTTCCCTTATGTCCATATGCATATGCCGACAGTGAACCCCAATGATTCCCATCTCATCATGTTTATAGTTCTGT